GGCACAGTAGCTGAGGTGTTCCCCACCTCTAGCCAACGTGTATGTATGATGATGATGCAGAGCAGGATTCGTGGTGTACTGATTTAACCTATACACTCGAATTTGAATCCAGATCTTACTCATGTTTCGGGGTCCTGGTAGTGTCCCAACCCGCTTACAACCACATGCAGTTGTACAGCGAGCAATTCCTAGTACAAAAATGCGGACACTAGCGAAACGAAATGGAACGTACTCTGATTATAACGCAAGTGAACTCCGCAAAATTGTGCAATGAATGTCCACTGGTTTTGCTAATAACTACGGTGGTGTTATTTTTGAACTTTTCGAAACTGTGTCCAGGGTAACTTGTGGAGGTTTGTATTTGTGTAACATTTCGTTCATTGTGCTCACAGTTCGTTCTGCTTGACTGAGGCGAACATCGACGTTAGTATTTAAAACACTTCGCCGCTGCTATATTTTCTTTGATGCCATGTCTAGTTCATGTCCTTATGCTTCTGCGTTGTGCTTCGCTATTTTGACTCTCTTTTGACATTGTACTTCCTCTAGCACATTCGTGCGGAGTTGGATCTTGTGCAAAGTTCCATGGAAGTACGAACAACACCTAAGACCTACGACCCTTTCATCATTCTCAAGGCCAGAGATGTGACCAGGCTACTGGCACGTTCTGTCCCCTTTGAACAAGCGATCCGAGTGCTTCGTGACGACGTGTTTGCTGACATAATCGAAGTCAACTTGACGAACCGGGAACGTTTCATCAAGCGACGGAACAGGTTGATCGGTTACGAGGCAGAAACCCTAAAGGCTTTAGAATTATGTACCAACTGTTACATAGTCATCCAGGGAAAGACAGTGTCTGCTGTCGGTCAGTATGAAGATTTGAAACAGGTTAGTTCACTGTGCTTTACCCTGCAGTATGGATTTTGTGTGCTCTTCGCTTTTCGCCCATCTACTCTTTGCTGGTGTCCCGTCAATTTTTAAATGCATTATCTGAAACTTGGATGTCAGTATCCCGTATATTATTCTGGCTTGCCTCAAGAGTAAACCACTTTTCAGTCTCTGCTCGAACCGTGACCAAATAAAACAGCCGCTGAACGCATTTTTATAATGTGTTCTCCCCGTTCGTGCCACAGCACACTTAGTCGATTTCTGTGGTTGATCTTGTACTAAACGCCGTTTCCCTTTCGACGCCTTAATCCGCTTTCATGTCCTTTGGCTTCTTAGGTTTCTCGATGCTCGTAATTTATGAGGGCTTATCGGGAGTTTTGAAATGCTCATAGGATTTGCTGCAACTAGTCTCTATTGGACCACTGTCTTGTGTCCAGCAAAACGCTATTTGATTGTTCCGTTCCCCCTCAAAGATTAGTACCTTCTGCGGGGCGAGTTACGCCATATCACAGCTACTATTTTGGCCACACAGCCGTTACCTATCACTCCCATAGCTCAGTGACTTCATTCGTCGCAAAGTGATCGTTGCTTCGAATTTTACAGGACCAGAGGAGGGACCGAGCGCGACCGACGATTCCCAACTACTTACAAATATATGAGTTTGTCAGAATTTATTTATTTCATCGCAGTTAGATTACAATCCCTAATTAGGTGAAGTAATCAGACGTGTGGGAGCCGCCTAATTTGACCTGCTCGGCCGGTAGCCGGATAGTCTGCGCACCTGGTTCGCAACCATAAGGTCCCAGGTTCGAATCCGCGTAGGGGTGAGCGCCCTCGCAGTATACTCAGCCCGCACGCGACTGATGATGGTCGCGCGACAGCGAAGTGCCGTTACGGCGTACAGTTGACACATTATTTATTATTATCTATTGATTGGGCCTGCGGACACATCCACATTGCATCATCGACAGCCTCTCACATCCTCCGCCTTACCACCGTAGACCCCCAGGCATTCGAGTTGTTGAATTTATGGCTGGTAAGCTAACTTGACATATCAACTCACATTCGCCCACTTGTGACTAGATCTCATAATTTCGCGGTTACTAGTATTTGGTTACAGTGTCAATCGCCACTCGATCTTTCTTGTGGCTGGTGAAAGTTTTTTCACCAGTGACTGTCCGCTTTTGATTGAACTGGGTGGCAATTGCACAGTGCGGTCGCTTTTCAAGTGTACATCTGTTTCGAAAGTAGTTGCGCATTAAACTCAAGTCTGACCGTCTCCTAATTCGGTTTGTGGCTACTTTACTTCTCCACATCAGCAATCATTTGCTGCGGCGAAGCCTTTACCTCAGCAAAAACTTTCCGAACCGTTGTATACTGCATCTGACTGCAGCGTTTAGGCAACCCACCATAAGGTCAATATGTCTTCACCTCATCAGTACGCCCTACCGACGTTTCGCTGTCACGTGACCACCACCAGTCGCGCGCGGGCTAAAGATACTGTGAGTGTTGTCCAGTCCTCTACACAGGCTACGTTTTCGCTTACATCCTGTGCTAAGTGTAAAGGCGGATACCGCGTGGGAGTAGCCCAGTGGAATCGAGATCACCATTTTGCTATTTTAGTTCAAGCCAAAGAACATCTTGTTTCGCGGCGGTGGCTCCAGTGCTATAGAATATGCATTACTTATCGCCACTATACACTCTGGCCATTGGGGAGCACTTCACTTATTGTGCTATCATAAAACCAGTTGGGTTGTAGTAGCAAAAGCGACAGGAGAAAACAGTCGTAGCAAAACCAAAAGGAAACAAAAAGTTCTTCGCCATGCCAAAAGCGATCACCATCTTTCGGAACCCAGCTAGGGAGTCGAGAGGGTCCAACCGAGGTCAAACACGAAGTGAGAGCTTTCATTCCTCTTGACCAATTAATCGGTTGACATTCCATATCCTCCCATTCAGACCGTGGTCTTGCAGACAACACCTTTCGCAGGAGTCGTTGTGCTCGTGCGCGTAGCACATTACCCAGCTATCTGCGCCTTTCGTGTGAACTAACTGTGGTGAGCGGCTCTCCCAGCGCCATGAACAAGGCGTCGAACACGTTCATTGTTCACATGCTGTTCCCAACAGATGTGATTGAAACTCCCAAGACACTTTTGGTCGAAGGTATCTTATCTCTTTACTCCTGTTGATCTGGTAGCACACGAGGGTTGAGCGAACGGTTGCAGTGCGCTTCCTGTCTTACTCTTTTGCGCTATTCATGTCACTGTGGCTGTCTTAATTCCCTAGTGTTATTTATTTATGTGATCCTAACAGAGGTTCTGAAGATGCACAACTGTGCCTTGGGCCCCAATTGTATGTGAAGCAAGCGCCACTGAATAAGCTGACGTCGAATGCTGCGTATTTCTTCACGTTCCTCGTGCCTTTCATCGTGGAGCGTAATATTACGAGATTGCACCGCCTCTCATTATCATCGTAGTATTTGATCATTTCCTGTATGAACATATCTTTGGTAGCCACATCGTCAAAGAGGTTACTGCACGCATTGATACGGCAGGTGTGGCTTGCGATGCCCAAATTGCTCACAGACGCCATGGGATGCGATATAAGCTTATGTAGTTCAGTACAGGATGTATACTTTACTGTGTGGTCGATGTTCCCTTCTAGACCAAACGTAAGACCACACTCTTTGAGAACACAAAAACTTGATCGTTTCCGGGCCTTACTGACCGCAAATTATACCTTATGTCTACCGGGTGCACTAAATAAGCGGTAACCAGAAGAAAGCGCACAGGAAAATTGCGGACAGCAAAAACCGCACTGACATAAAAGCGGACACGAAGATTGCGTACACCAAAAGTGAATGCATTTTCGCAAGCTGTTAACATGGTCACATATGACTGTTTTATTTATGTACTTTGCTTTATACTCACATTAGGAATCCACGTCGCACAAAATAATCTACTGTACATGTTGCAGCTAGTGACTACGAGACATTGAGATTTTTCTTCGGTATCGGAATATACATCACACCACAGCCGCCTATACACAACGTTGCATCCCGGCGGAGGAAATTATTGTACACATCTCCAACGCTTGGTCCGATCTTTAGACCGGGCTATGATTTTCCTCCTCACAAATGCCTGCTTAGCGGTTTAACAATTCCAACCATCATGTCATAACTCACCTTACCCCGTAACATAAACTTCTTACCAATGGCTTTAAGAATACAGACAAATGTTGACTCATATTGACGGCATAAAACTTATTAACAAGGTTACAAAAGAGTGTATGCCTCGCAATAATATTACAGCCGCATGAGTGGACAACCATGACCACGCATGCATGTCTAAACGAGTGTGGATCATGACTGACAGCGTCCGTTCTCGGTTCTGCTTGCTACCGTGTCCCGCATGTGGACAACCACAGGATGCCTTCGCTTAATGAGAGATAGATTATAATTGACTTGCGCTGCACCACCTATTGCTCCATCCACACACACGACATCCAGTGTAAACCCATAGGAATAAGGCCAATAAGCAAGTGCGTGGTAATCAAGATTCATCAACAGAGTCAGCGCACACTTGTTCAACATGCACAGCATTCCTGTCGAAGTTGCGAATCAGTCGCGTACAGAACATCGCATGTTAGATGGGACCACTAATTGAGCCTAGCACAGGCGCAAAGGCAGTCCACCCGCAATGGGGCGTGATTCATAAACCACAGGCAAAGACTGGGCATTGCTCACAAACTAAATTTGTCGAAGCCGTAACGAAATTGCGGGTGACACTCACTTCATGTAAGTAAATGAAGTTGGTCGCTAGTGTCGCCTAGCTATGAAGATGTTGGTGACAGCGGCCGCAGAGCAGGGACCTTTATTATTATTATTATTATTACTATTATTATTATTATCAGCAGTCTATAGACTAGACAAAGAGCCAACAGCAAACTATGGAGATCAGTGGATAAGAAAGAGTCATCGCGTCATAATCATCGTGGCATGGTAGTTGGAGGTGAGCAGGGGCCTGGACAGTATCAAATGACCTTTGAACGCCAGTGTTTGACTAATGACGCTGCTATGTATCCGATTTAATCCAGCAGTTCTATCTAAACGGTTGACACGAGTACGCGATTTGCTAAGTGAACTGCAACACACATCGCCGTTTCTTATTGCACTGTTACCTATAGAGTACTCCAGCGACCAGAAAGGCAACCTAGTTTTAACATATTAGGGGTTTTCTAACCCCACTTTCCGCACTATCTAAGGACTGATAACTTGATGTAGGCAAAACCGATGTGTACAGTGTCACACACTGATAAAGACACGAGACGCCATCATCTTGCATTAGCCAACTGCGAACTGTCATGACTCATATCCTCAAAAAGCGGAAGCCAATGCTGCACAAAGCCAAATGAAACTGGACGTGAGGGCAGTCATTGCTACACATCGCAACGTTATAGGAACTGTGTTGTCTGTACTGAGTAGCGAAGCTTTTGACCTCTAGCCCAAACAATCATCCATTACTAGAGCTCTTCTGAGTCACCGAAAAAACGGTCATTTGCCTTGTGAAACAGGCACAGATTTTGCTATTCCTGAGCAGTATTCCGAACTATTTCTACATGATTCAGGTATGGATGATCCAGAAAGGATTCTCGTGTTAGAATTGTGCAGATACCACAATAGGGGGATACCTTTTATCTGCCGTATACGTGGCACGCCAACGTGGGCTTGAGTTATCTCGCTTACCTTTACATCCTGTTGCAGACCTTTACAAGAATGTTTGCAATAATGAAACTACTGTTACCGGATTTATGCTAACAAAGGTGTTAGTCGATTTTGAGAAGACTTCTATTAACGCTGTGAGATTCGCAGTTCCCGACTCAGTAATTAAATGATGCTAGTTCCACCTGTATCAGAGTATCATCACAGAAGTCTACGAACTCTGCCTAAAGAGCACTTTTGAAATGAATATCAAAATTCAACTGCAGCTAAACCCGCTGGCCGC